TATTGGTTAATAATTATTTTGACTTCTAATAAACAAACATAAAATAAAATTCATCGTGTTATTTCTTTAGTTATCACTGCAAAAGTTGTTACATCATTGTGGTATTGGTTAATAATTATTTTGACTTCTAATAAACAATTCATTATGTTATTTCTTTAGTTATCACTGCAAAAGTTGTTACATCATTGCGGATGAAAAAAATGTAACATGAAGTAGAAATTTAAAAAATATCATTGCAAAACCAGTCATTTTGACTGGTATTGGTTAATAATTATTTTGACTTCTAATAAACAAACATAAAATAAAATTCGTTATGTTATTTCTTTAGTTATCACAGCAAAAGTTGTTACATCATTGTGGAAGAAAAAAATGTAACATGAAATGGAAATTTTAAAAAATAATATTGCAAAACCAGTCATTGGTTAATAATTATTTTGATTTCTAATAAACAAACATAAAATAAAATTCGTTATGTTATTTCTTTAGTTATCACTGCAAAAGTTGTTACATCATTGTGGATGAAAAAAATGTAACATGAAGTAGAAATTTTAAAAAATAATATTACAAAACCAGTCATTTTGACTAGTATGGTGGTTCTAATGTTAAAGAGGAGCGCGCATCTCCTCGTTTAAAATACTCGAAATACACGAAGGAGGCCAAAATGAACGATTGTCTTTGGAACTTTGAAACTTTTTTTTGGTTCACCTTGCAGATTTCTATTTCAATACAAATTGTCAGCACGCGTGACTTCTCACTCAGTTTTATGCACCATCTAAATGCATTTATATTTACTCACGTCGTCGCCTTAGAAATAATCAAGCACACCTCACTGCATATTCTCAAAACAAAACAAAACGAAAACTTAAGAGATTAACACAAGTTCAAGAATTCATTTCTGTACTAATAAACCTGAATCCTAAATTGCTTCGAGGACAGCTTTTTCCTTCCTCTTCCGAGGAGGTAGTTCAGTCTCACCGGTTCCTCGTCATTAAGAACAATGACAGCGGTCGTATTGTTGCTTATCCTATATGAAATCATCTTTGGCGTGGCTTTCAGGTGACTGTGCTTTATCTGATCTTCTTCGCCAGGATTCTCGCAATTAGTAGAACTGTCCTGCGTTTCCGGACAGCAAATCGGTCTCC